AAGTTATTTTCTCTATATCATAATACAATTTACACATTTGTATGAGCTCTCCTCGTACTCTTCGTTGTTTTAAAGATGCCAATTTCATTTTTTCTACTCTTTCATTGTATAGTAGATGACGTAGTTCAGGTACAGATTTCGTGATTTGTTTTTGAATTTTTTCTAAATGCGCTCGTAAATAACTACAATGCAGCAACTTTATTAGTTCAATATCTTTATACTTAAATGATTTTCATAATATACCAAATTTACAGTTTGCGATAGATGATGCAATTTTGATTTGTGGTTCCAATTTTAAGTCATTTGAAATTAATACCCTTTATATTATTGTTAGTCATAAAATACTAATAATTTTTTTTTTGTTACCAATATGCATGATTTTACATTTTTCAAAATTGAATTGTATTTTCTAGTTTATTCCCATTTTTCTAACTTAGCGATGTTATTTTGTAAAGCATGTGCATCTGTTTTATTATTAACTTCAGCTATTACTTTACAATCATGCGCATAAAACAACAAATGTTTATAAATTTGGAAGATCACTGATGTATATCAAAAATAAAATTGGACAAAGCACAGATCCTTGTGGTACACCGCTTACTATGTCCACCCATAATGATACACTTTCTCCAAGTACAACTCAGTGATTCCTATTAGTTAAAAGTTTTTTAGAAATTATTTAAAAAGAAATTATCCATTTTAATGACGTAGATATAATGCCATATGCTTCAAGTTTTAGTGCAAATCTCCAATGTGAAATTTTTTCAAAAGCTTTTTTAAAATTAGTATAACGGATATCAAACGATTTACCATTTGCAACACACTGTTTTACCTTTTGTAAAACCATGCTGATTAGAAAATAATAAATTGTTTGTCTTTAAATAATTTAAGAGTTGGTTAGATATTAAAAATTCTAAAGTTTTACAAAGAATTGATCTAAAACCCGAGCAACACAACTTAGATGGCCCAACATTTGCCAACGTATTTGTAATTGTTGGCCCACCGAAGTGCTTTGGTTGGCCTTAGGTTGGCGTCGTGTCGGCATATGATCGGTTGCCCATCGTTCCTACGTTGGCATCATATATTTTCAGCATTGTTAACAAAACTTTGATATATTCTTGGTTTTGAATTGTTGGCGCAACATTAGTACAAACAAATTGCTACAGTGAGCGACACATAGGCATCATGCGTTTTATACTACGCTGACCTTAGACTGGCGCACCGTTGGTGTAAGTTTGTAGGAGTAAATTTTGCCTAACAAAATGTTTAGGTTGGTGTTGTGTAGGCATATGATCGGTTGTCCATTGAGATTATGGTGGCATTGTTTTACTCAACGTTTTTGGAAATGCGTTGGCCCTTTCTTACTGTTATGTTGTAGGCGCAACGTTAGCCAAACCAAGTGCTTTGAAGCTAGAACACTTTGTTGAAAACACGTTAGATCAACATCAAAACAACTCTTCAAACGTTGTTTCAACGTTGGGCCAACCTTTTTGCTAACGAAGTGGGCTAGTTTAGTACAGTTAGCGACGCATTTTAATGATGTTTTACTTAGTTGGTCTTACATTGGCGGCATTGGTAAAAGGTTGTAACGCTAAAATGCCTCCTCATCAAGCAAACGATGCAACTGTGCATTTTATCTTTTTTAAACGTTGGTGTAATGTAGTGTGTAGGCTGGGATGATTTGATACTCATCAAACCAACGTTGGTATCATGATAGGTTTTACAGGTTGGCGCTACGTTTCAAGTTAATAAAATTCTAATAAGTTTTTGGGTTTCTAGTAAAAAGTTATTTATTATTGAAATTATAATATTTAAACATTTTAAAACGCTGCTTCTCTTCTCCTCTTCCCTCCATCATAATCTCTTGCAAAGCGAAGCAATGCTTTAACTGCACTTGCTACATCGGGATCCGTACCACGGCATGTTGACGGATTTCTACGAACAGCATCTAAATAGAATCAAATATTGGTTAGGTGACAATAAATTGATTTACTTTCATTTTACATTCATTTAATTTCATTTTTTAAACAACTTCTAATCTTATAATCTAAAGTCTTAAATCTAAAGAATTAAAATTTTATATTTTTAGTAAAAGTATCAATAACGGTAAGAGTAAATCTACAATAAGAATAAATAATGATCGTTTAATATAAGGTCGGCAACCTGTTTCAAGTTGAGGGCCATTTTTCTTAAAATAATTAAAAAAAAAAAAAACTAACTAAAGAGCCGTAAGGATGATGAATGCGGGGATTATTATTCAATGGTATTCAACATCATTTAAATATAAAAATCGGACAGGTTGAAGAGCCACACAGTTTGGATAAAAAAAACTGCATGCGGCTCGCGAACCGAAGGTTGCCGATTCCTAGTTTAACACAAAAAAGCCCACTATTTATATTTTGGCTATTTCTAAAAGCATATTTTCCCGAATTACAAGCATTTGCAACGCTATTTGTCATCAACCGCTTCAATATATTTCTTGTCGATTTAGAAACAGTTGTTCCATCAGACTGACCCAAATAATGTGTCTAAATTAAAAATAAAAAACTTTTTAAAAGATATAATTTACTATGTATTAAATTTAAAGTAACTTGAACTAAATTATTTGGTGAATCAAACAATTACAACAAATACATTATCTTATAAGCTTTCCTTGCATTTCATAGTCAAGACAATCTGTTTAAATTTTTTTTAACTGTTCCTTTGATAAAACAGGCAGTCCAAAGTTGTTGGAACTTGTTTCTATAATGCTACGCTGCTGTTGAGATAATAATTGTTGCAGAAGCAAAATTATAGTTTGGTTGCCTTGCTTGATCTCTTCTAATAATATTAATTTCTGACTTTACAATTAGAGAATGATCATTCACTAATTGTAAAGAAAAATAAAACAGGTATATTTTTAAGCAAAATTCATAAAATAATACTTTAATAAAAATAATAATATATAGAAACAATAGATTTTCTTTTATATCTTAAGTCAAATTAAGTTTCAACAAACAAACAAATTCATTACTTTTTTAATGCATAAATAAAATAAACGCATCTCTAATACGGTGATTAACCAAACCAGGTGATAATTGGTCCATTTGCAATGCTCTAGCAAGCATTGGTGTTAGTATTGATGTTAGCGCAGTTGGGTTATTTATTTGCACAAAGTATTTGTATTTATAACATCATTTGATTTATTAAATTTTTACTAAATCAAATGATGTTATAAACACACAGAGATTTCAAATACATTATTTAAACTTTTACAAAGGTAAAATTATATTTACAATATTGTAGTCTTATTTATATAATGTAACAGTCGAAAAATTAAAAAAAACTGTAAATTTAACTTCTTTACTAATAGTATTAGATATATTATCTATAGATGATGACAAAGGAGAGCAGGTATCTGTTTCAATAGATTAAAGCCCATTTTGAATTTTTATCTACAAATTATAAAATTTTCAAATATAGTAAATATTTAAAATACATATAATGAATTATAAATATATTAGTAATATTAAGCATTCTTCAAAACGAAGTATGATATAATAATTAATAAATAAATTTCAATAATTAAAAAACCTAACTGCAACTGAGGACAAGGAGGAGCAGGAAACTGCAGGTTTGAGCATTTAAAGCACTTGTTCGAACATAATAAGCTGATAAAATCATGCTAACTTCAAATAAAAAAAATTTGAATAACTTATAAATCGCCTTAACTGCGCCGTGTACACAATAAACTAGAAAATGTCTAATAAACTCTTTAAAGATTAAAACTTTAACTACGTAAAAAACGTTAAAAACTTTAACTACTTTTAACCATAATCAATAGAAGTTATACCTTCTGTAGGTGTAGCTTCTAAGGTATAACTTCTATTGACTATGGTTTAACTAACTATACGTTTAAAACTTTAACTACGTAACTTTTTTTTTTTTAATTGACACAATGTTGCATAGCAACCTAGGCACCAGAAAACCTAATGTGAAAAACCCAAGGAAGTTTAATAAACCTCCTTGGAAAAACCGCTAAACAGCTGTTACGACTTTGAAATAACTAGACTGTTGACTAAATTGATTAAGGTGTTTTTCAAAGTCGACTAGAATCGACTTATATTTTGTGAAAATTAACTGTAAAACCTATTATGATACCAACGTTGTTTTGATGAGTTCAAATCATCCCAGCCTACACACTACATTACGCCAACGTTGAAAAAAAGATAAAGTCGACTAAAAGTCGATTTTGTCGAAATATTTGAATTTTTTAAAATTATAATATTTAAATGTTGCTTCGCAATTTATTTCTTAGATGAAATAAATAGAACTTTAAGTGACTAAACAAAAAATTAGGTGGTATTATTCTATTGGCTTAATTTAAATCGAGAATAAACAAACAAAACAAAAATTACAATAGAAAAAAATAAGATGACCATTTTATATATCTTGATTTAACAACGCATTGTTCAGCGTAATCTGGTTTAAGTCTATTTCGCCGTTCTGCAACGATCTCGGCAGCACTTGAAAAGAACTCTTCAGAAGGCGTTGGTGAAGCAGTTATACAAAGAGCATCTTTGCTATCTTTGACAAAACGGGAAATCGACATACATTGTTTTTATAAAATGCAAGAGGGCAAGAATTTTCCGATACTTTTATATTCATAATTATATAATTGATGATTTCGTACTGATAACAAATCTTCTGATGACACTGTTTGATCGCATAACAGTATTTTTCTTTTTTTGATGGACTTCTTTGCAGTGGCGGATTATCAAATTATGGGCCTATAGGCTTAACTAATTCATGGGCCCTATATACCTATATTTTTCTAAAAAATACGTCAAAAAGTACAATTTTAATTTTATTTATAATAATAATATCTATAATAAAATCTAATTTTATTTCAAAATTACAAACAAATTATCAGGTATATTAGATACTAGTATATACTTTATAAATGGCTGACCCAAAGAAAAAAACAACACGATCAAAAATTCATTTTTCTGCATTTTCGTTCAACAAAGATTCAACGATAAAATTTCATTAAAGTCACAGCTTCTTAGGATGTCAGATTCAGTACACATAACAGTAAGAGAATTCAGTTTGTCATCACCCAAAGCACTTCGCAGATAGTTTTTTATCCGTTTCAATGCAGAGAATGATCTTTCATCACTGCAGTTGGTGATCATCAAACTGAGGTATATGTGAAGTGCTGTGGCAACATTTGGAAATATATCTTGCAGTGCACTGCTGTTTCTCAAAGCCCGATACATATACAGCTCTATGCTACATTTCAGTTCTTTCTCATTCTGTTGCAAGTACGTATCAGCTAACAAATATTCTTTGAAGTGAAGTATTTCATCTTCAAATGACTCTTCCAAACCATCTACATAAGTATCTATCAAGTTTCTACTGGCTCTTCGCAAATCAGACTGTTCCAGTGATCGAATGTTTCTCAGAAAACCAAACTTATCACATACACCACTGTATGCCTCTGATCGTTTACATAATGCTGAATTCAAGTGATCAAGTACTGGCAAGAAAACCATGACTCGAAATTTCTGCTGTGCCGAAAACACTGTTTCATCAGCTGATCCATCATGACGGGTTAATTGAACACTTCGCTTTCGTTTCCTCTGATTCTCTTCTTTATAAGAAGTTGACCCTGTTATTTCCTTTCCTTTTTTCTCAAAGAAATCAAACTGTGCTCGAAGTGAATTTACATATTCTTTTAGTGAAGTTAACAGTTGAACAGCCTCATTTAGATCAAGTTGTGGACTTTGCAGTTTTAAACTGGTCTTATGAAAGCGATCTAATATGGGTGTCCAGAGTTCTAATAAAATTCCATATTCTAACTGATCCATCTTCTTTGCAATTCCTGCAGCTGTAGTGCGAGCTTCAACCTTCTCCTCGGGGTCCTCAGCAATGTTCTCTAACACTGTCTTAACATTTTTAAAGCCTTTGCTCAATGCTTTAGTTGCTGCAGAATGTGCTGACCATCGAGTATCAGAAAGGCGTTTTAGAACTAACTGGTTACTATCCAATCCTTTGGTTAGAAGCTCCCACCGTTGGGTTGATGCATTTAAAGAGACATACAAGTTTTGTACAAAATCAAAAAATCCACTGACTGTTGTCACGCAGTTTACAGCTGATGCACCGACAAAATTAAGGGAGTGTGCAAAACATGGCACATATTCAGCCAATGGGTTCTTCTCTCGAATGCGTACCTGTAACCCTGAATATTTTCCTGCCATATTGCTAGCATTATCGTAGGACTGACCTCGGCAATATTTTATATCCAACTTTGCTTCTTCCAGAAAGCTGTATAAACTGTTAAACAAATCTTCTGCCCCATGTCCTTTCATGCTTAAAAATTGCACAAACCTTTCTATAGGGCCATCGTTCAAAACATATCGAAAGACACATGACAGCCTATCAACATGAGATATGTCTGGAGTAGAGTCAACAGAAATCGAATAAAATTTTGCTCCACGTATTTCAGACAATATTGTTTTCATAACTTGCTTTCCCATGACATCAATTAACTCATCACAAATTGTTGATGACAGGTATGAAACAGAGCCTTTCCCCTTACCACCATGGTTGTCAATATGACTGGAGAGGAATGGATCAAACTGAGCAATCAACTCCAAAATTCCCAAAAAATTGCCATTAGAACTTGACCCCAATATTTCAGTATGTCCTCTAAATGCGAGCCCTCTTTCAGCAAAGAGTTTGATAACTGAGACAACTCTTTCTAGCACAGACTTTGCATATGCACATTCCTGTCTGTATTGCTCAACTGAATCTACACATCCTCTGACTTGTACTCTTTGGCTGAATGTGATTGTTGCATTTCTATGTGCAATGCTGTTTTTATGTGACTGTATTCGTGAAGCTGCATTTTTCCAATCACAAAAACCATTCCTTGAGAATGAATTATCATCAGCAGAAAATAATTTACATACAAAGCAGTAAATGCGAGATGTTGCTGGTGAATAACACAACCATGACCTTGTGACTTTCTCACCATTGCGAGAATGAACACGATAAAAGAGATTCTGTGAGCAGTAGCGCTTCCATCAATTTGCATTAAACTAGTGAAGTCAGCATTTGAATGTTGACAACATTCACTGCCACGAGTTACCCAAAAGTTACAGAATGTATCATTGATTTCCACTTCAGACCATTGCCCAATGTCAGTGGAAAAGGAATTGTGATCACCTTTGGAACCAGCTTGTGCTTCTGGTTTCTGAGCAAGTGTCTCCGCGTCTACCATATCATCAGATTCAGAGTGAGAGATAGACTGAGTGCATACAGCTGCAACACTGTTATCACGTTCAAATTCATGACCAAATTGACCAGGCAAACCACACTGACCAACACATGGTAAAGGTGAATTCGATGGTGGGTCTTCTCTATTGACATTGACACTAATCGTAGGAAAAAGCTCAGTTATTTTAACAGTTTTTGAAATGACCGCTTCCTCACGTTTCTTTTTATCTTCACGGTCTTTAGCTTTTTGATACCCAGACTTGTGATGATATGCCATTATGACCTGAAATCGAAAAACATACAATGTAGATACTGCATTATTATATATATATATTTAATCAAGCAATATTATAAGTTTTATTAATATTGTTTCTGAATATACATACAAAATACTTATGAGTCACGTAGATGCGCGCAATGCTTTTCTGTTCCATCCACCCACACCTTACCCCCTATGGTCCTATTTCACAGAATTTACTGTACAGTATGTGTCGTATTTTCATGGGTAAATCTTATCTTAAAGAATCTACTGTATGCTTCCTATTTCAGTGTTGCAAAACACCTAATGACATCAGTAGTGTCAATTTGTTCAAGAATACCATTCTCAGCATAACTGGGCTACAAAATTGATTTTTTAGTTTAAAAATAACATTTGGTTCTGATAAAGCAAAATTTTGACTAAGACAGAGTAAAAAACAAACATTTGGGCAGCATAACTGGGCTACAAAATTGATTTTTTAGTTTAAAAATAAAATTTGGTTCTGATTCATTCATTTATCCATGATACATACCTATATCGATATTTGCTGTAAAAAAAATTTGCAATCATCTTCCGAACCGGGCCTCTATGGCTGACGGGCCCCTAGGCTTCAGCCTACTCAGCCTAATGGATAATCCGCCACTGCTTCTTTGACTAGATGACAACTCTTGGCTAGACAACTGAAAGCTTGCTGGTGTTAGCTGCAATACATAGCTCAATTGAACAACTAAAGAATGAGCTTTTTTAATACAAAAAATTTTCGCTGTTTTGTTTGATATAAATTTAAAATTTCGAAAACGCGGATGTAAATATGTAGCTGCGTACAACTTTTCAATTTTAAGAAAATCCTCACATCTTTAACTAAAATTATCTTTGAATTTGATGCTAAGATTCATAATTGTACGATTATTTGATTCACTTTTGAAGTTAGCAAAATAATCAGTTAATTTATAAACGGCTGGTAATATAATTGAACAAGTGGTATATTTTGATCATATGGTGAGATAAATGATTTATTAGAGCCATGTGTTGGCTCTAATAAACCATTTATCTCGCCAATGATTTCCAATTCCCAGCTTTTTAATAACAAATCCTTATTATCTTTGTTCTCTGGCTTGATAATAACGTCTTTGATTGATTCGCTAAGTTTAAAAACTGCCTGCAACATTTAAAAGGTCTAATTCCACCGAGTAGCAACGTCTTGTTTTAGCTTGTTAATTGAACATTTATCTTCTTGATTGTCAATTTTCATTTTATTTAACTCAACACAATTTACAAGCTGAGCAGAAAACTTATTACCTGTTTGAATAAGCCTACGAGTTTCCTACATTTCTTTAAAATTATGAAAACGCAATGATTTTTGTGAGTTGATAGCTCATTCTCTTTTACAAGAACATTTTTAACAATTAAATTTAATATTTGACAAAAACAAGATATGTACAATTTGTTAATTAGATCTTCGAGACTATGTTTGATATTCGCAGCAGTTTCACTACTCGTTGAAAGTGTTTTATCACTTATTTTCCATTCATTTAGAATTAACTCAATTTGCTCCTTTAAATATAGGCTAGTATGGGCTTTTGGGCTATGCTTTAATGCAATCCGGATCGATTTCAAACAAAAATTTAAATCAACAAAATGTACTGTGGCGTTAGTGTATGAATGCGAGGCTTTTGATGTCTATGCATCTGTGGTTAGATGGCAAAATTCAGCTTGGTTTAAAAGATGAATTACTTTTATAATTCAAATTTAAGCGGCACTATTTCATACGAAAACTTTTGTCTGGTCGGCAATTTTTATTTGTTTTCAAACGAAGTTAGCATTTTAATAAAATACTTATTATCAACAATCGACAGCGGTTGACCTGTTTAAAGAACAAAGTTACACATTGATTCCTCTAAATCTCTATATTTCTGCGAACGTGAACAATATGAGTGAAAGTTTGCAAATACATCTTTGATAGATACATGACCTGTTGTTGTACTTGAAAGTTTAGACTCTTTAATATCCGATGGTTACTAAACAAATGATTTGCCATTAAGCTTGTATTTTTATTGTATTTTAGCTTTTTGTTGTAAATTTCGTTTAATGTATTTACAAGTTGTTATTGTAGAGTCATTGTTTTTCACAAAATAATTCCAGAATTTACTTTTATTAATGTTTCGATTCGAAATTTGTATCATAAAAAGAGAATAAGAATGAAATAGCTATTACAATTAAGTCAAAGAAGTCACGGCTTTTAAGTGTGTTCAGATAAGAATTCCTTTATGCGAAAATAATGACTAAAAGGATTTACATGAGTACCTATTATTATTATTATTAGAATTATTCTGATCGTTATTAATTTCTAAAGGGAGTTAAACCAATTGTTTAAAATGACCATTGGGAATTAATGTTACTTGTATCAATCAATAAAAAGAATTTGATTGAATTTATTGACTTATTTAATTTAAATTGAATTAAAACAGAGAAAATTTTTAAAAAAAAAGGTTCTCTCTGTATCATTTATCAAAACAATTAAAGCAAAAAATCTTTGAGGCGTAATTTTTGTGGCGTATCAAGGTGGTGGCTAATAGGGCCAAAATATTTTGTGGATTTCAGATGTATCTTTTTGGCATCGTTAACTGATGACACATTATAAAATATCTTTTTAAAGAATTAACTTTTTTTAACGAGTCAGTATAATGAGAAAAAACAAACATTAATATTAATGTTTGTTTTTTGCCACTACATTATAATGAAGTGGCACAGCATACAGTAAGCTTAGAGCTGAGTTTATGTGAAACAACAAATTAGGTTCAATGTTCAGATATTTTGGTTGAATTAAAAACCCAGCTATGAATAATGATCTTGCGCATGGCTCAATCTTTACAAATATTTTATCTTTATAAAATAATCTACTTATAAGGATATATCTTTGCTAATTGGTCAGCATCGTAATAAAATTAAATATTGACAAAGTTAAATCACACGAAGAGATAAAGATAAGATTTTTTTGGACTCGACTAAATCGACTTTTAGTCGATTAGTAGAAAATCTAAAGTTGATTAAATCAACTATTAGACTTTTCATAGTCGACTAATTTCGACTTTTGACTAGTCAACTTTTAGTCGATTTAGTCAAAGTCGATAACAATACTATATTTTGATACTTAAATTTGGTGTTCTGAGCTATTTCGATACATAAGTTTGGTGTTCTGAGCTACTTCGTTATTTGAATTTGGTGTTCTGAGCTATTTCGATACTTAAATTTTTACATTATTGGTTGGTGAAATTATTTTATTTTGTTGTTGATTAGAGAGAAATATTTAGTTTTTTCTATTTAGCATTTTACAATCATTATAGTTTTAAACTGTTTGAGGTATTTATAAGACCGTTTATTTCAATTAGAAACCAAGGTGTCGAACGCCTTTGACAAGTCAATAAAGATCAAAAAGGTGTCGGTGTCGAACGCCTTTGACAAGTCAATAAAGATCAAAAAGTTAATTTTAATTAAGTTTATTTTTTAAATGGTAAAAGGAACAGTTATTTTAAAATAAGTATATTAGTTGTTTTCTAATTTATTTAGAAAACAACTAATATACTTATTTTAAAAATAATTGTTCCTTTTAGCGTTTAGCATACTTGGATAAGGCGTTGACTTCATAAACGAATGTCTGTGGTGCGAAACCCGCATCCTTCCTAAACGTTTTTGTTTTTTTACACATGCATTCAGCCCAATGTTAATAAAATAAAACAGTAATATCAGAAAAAATTGATTGCAAAATTTGTGTTTTTATTACAGCATTAAAATAATAAAAGCTTTGGGTTTTAAAAATTTGTTTTTAAATTTTCTTCTTGTTTGGACATCAGTCAATTTGCGAAATGACGTCATATATTGGTATTTCAATTGTCGTATTTAAAATTCCCAATGCATAATTTTATTGAATCACTTTTAAACGGCGCACAGTGAATCGGCTCATAAAATCTAGCTGGACAAAAGTCAGCTTTAAATTAGTAGATACTTCCATAATATTACTGAATACTCCCTAGACAAAAATTCAAAATATTAATTAGTGTACGCGTCTTTAAGTGTTAAATCATAAGCGCTTGAATGTCACTTAAAGATAAACATATTTTTGTAAAAAAATTAGCTGTAATTTTGCTGTGTAACAACAACGTATAACTAGTTTATTGTAAATAATAACTAACTCTGCTGTGATGAATTTTACATTAGAGGGTATGTAGTTTGTATTTTATCGAAAACTTATTTAAAATAATTGTCATAGATGATATTCTGTAGCTTTAAAAAAACTATGTTAAAAGTACAGTTTCTTTTTTCGTTTTTTAATTTTCAAAGCGTATAACTAATTTTATCCAAATATATCCAGGCTGATTTTTTTATATATTATAACCACAACAATAAGGCGCCTAAATATAAAAATTTGGCTGCCCATGTCTGCCCGTTTCATTTTTATTTAATTTTTTTCAGACCGAGTGTATTCTATTACAAAATTGGATTTATTTGAAGAATGGCAAAAACATGCAAAGGAAGAACGAAATTCTCTTTTGTGTGAATTTATTTTGAAAGACTATACTACAGAAAATGTTACTAGTGATTCGAAAAAAAATACAGTTAAAAATGGCAAGCATATCCGCTAAATTTGCGCAAAAGCGGAATGCAGCCGATAGAAATATGGATCATTTTTTAAATAAAAATAAAAGTTGGTTAGAGGGCAATAATTTAGAATTTAAAATAAATTTTTATCGATCTTGTACTTCTACAACATCTGAAGAAAGTCGGCCTCAAGGTCGGTCAAAGAAAAAGACTCATCTTTAAAAACCAAAAGACGTAGAATTGAAGACTTATTGCAATCGTGGAGTGCCAATGAATTAACAACAGCTGCTGAAATAGCACATCGTTTGTCGGGTCAAAGAAACGTAGCTACTTCTATTAGAAAAAGTACAGAAACCTTAGAGCGAAGAAAATCTACAGATGTTATTTTTGGTATCAGACAGTTGATTAGCGATGAGGCACTT